ATGATTTTCACATATTTATAAGTGATGAAATATTATTTTTGAAATATTAAACAATTTTCCCCTTGTAAATTCCCTCTTTTCCCTCTGCTTAGTTTCTGCACTTCCTTCATAAACTTCCTCCCCCACTTCATGTCATTGTGGTGTTCAGTACTCACTGAGACAGTGGAAAGGAAAGAAAAAAGGAAGCCATTTAGCCTTTGATTTGTAAAAGCATAGAAGCCATCTATAGAAAGGGGGAGAATTTTAAGCATAAAGCAAACATTTGAGAGAGGTAGGTTGAAGAGACTCAGGATGTCCCAGGATTAGGAATCACAAACAAAAAATAGAGGACTGCTGAATCAGGGCTGACGTGTCCAGGTAGATGGGAATGAGGCATGTTTTTTTTAACAGAAATCTGTGTCGACAAGACAACTAGTCAACATAGTGATCGCCAGCACACTTAGGCAACACGGAAGATCACATGCCTTCCCTCTACAGAGGTAGTATATAAGCTCCCAGAATTTACCCAACAATCTAGTGAAGTCCAAATTGTTAGTACATTTCTAGCATGTGAATAGAACGCTCAGATTACAAATTAAATTTGCATATAAAATACAATGTGATTTTCTCACACACCCATGTCAGGCTCATATCCACACATCCTAACTGACTGTATTATGCATGTGCATATTTGTGTGTGTGTGTGTGTGTAAAACACATATAAAGACACATCAATGTGGCCATAAAGTTATGCATTTAATTTCTAGGAAATTCTACAGAGTAGATACTGCATAAAAATTTCCCCTAGGAACATATAAATGTCTCAAAGGCAGGAATTCTGTTTTATTCATCTTTATATTAGCAGAGCCTGGCACAGCTCCTGAACTAAGTACTCATAAAATCTGTTAAACTAGTAGTCAATGTGCATGTGTAAGAAAGTGGCACGATGAGAAAATGTACTTTGAAGGACATTAATTTGGCAACCATGAGTAAGACTAGGTGGTTGAACTAGGAGGCTATTTATTTATTTATTTATTTATTTTTTTTTTTTGAGACAGAGTCTCGCTTAGTTGCCCAGGCTGGAGTGCAGTGGCGCGATCTCGGCTCATTGCAAGCTCCGCCTCCCGGGTTCACGCCATTCTCCTGCCTCAGCCTCCCGAGTAGCTGGGAC